CAGCACTAAGCACCGGGAACCTTCATTGCCAGGACTTCGAGAAGTTCAAGGCAAAGAAGGCGGAGGAGAAGGAGGAGCTTAAAGAGAAGAAAGAAGCGAGCCTTGGCTGCGGGCGGGTGGAACTTGTGATCGGCCAAATCATCCCACATCTGAGGGAGATGATCGCGGCCGCCGTCGCGGCCAAGGACACTGAGACAGCGGAAGCCGCGCTCGACAAGGCCAGAAGCAGAGCACATGTTTGGGTTTGCAGGTTGCATTCCCAAGCTGCCGCGAACAGGTCGGTGCTGCGCCCCAACCCGCCAAGGTCGTCAAGGAGGCCAGTTGAAGCCAAACAGATTATCGGTCAGGCTGTTCCCTGAGTCTACCCTGTCTACCCTTCGCCTGATGCTGCAACTGATGCTGAAGGGCCCACACTGCAGCAGATAGCTTACAGATTTCCTCATCAGCACCACGGCCCGTGGCCACGCTCATGAAGCCACAAAACGATTGCGAGAGCACTTGCTTGCCGTGCCTGCAGCCCTGTGACGTCCGCCTTTTTGGGGGTTTATGCTGAGAAGTCTGCTGCAACATGTCACCTTGTCATGCCACAAACATGGTTATGGACAAGGTCAGAAAACTTACCCAAGTGTGCTTTGGTAGTGGTGATCATCACCAATGGAACAAGTACCAATGGTGCTTCTGGTCATCACAGCATTTTGAGGCTGGCGCGGCAAAAGCTGAGAAGGTTGCTGGCTTATAATAGCTTGGAAATTGCCGACCGTGGGGAACGTCAAAGGCTGCTAGCAGAGCCTTGATACCTGAAGGCCACCGACGCTGGAAAGGCCGCGACGAAGGCCGAGAAGGAGTACCTTTCAGAATCATGACAGATATTGGGACAATGACAAAGACACTGCCCCTGGGTCTCTGAGAGACAGACCGAACTCCAAACCAAAAAAGCTCGGAGAAATGCGGTAAGAAGGAGAGGCCAGAGAATGCCGATTTGCATTATGTTATGATGGTTACTTCTGTAGAGACAATGACGGAAGATTATTCGCAGTTGCTCACTGTGTCGCCTTTTTTGCCTGGAAGAAGGCGCAGAAACTGTCAAAGCCAGCACCAGGTCCCGAGCCCCCAATTAGGCACCGTTCCAGCTTTAGATCCTCCCATCAATAATTTCTCCGCCATGCAAACTGCCACTCGCGAAGGAGCGAAGACTGGCTGAGGTCGTCGTCTAAAAAGGCACAGGGTGCTCTGGTAGGATGCGCTGGGATTTTTCATGGTTTGGACTGGCATTCTGGACAGGTTCGATGGCCACGGCGTTCCAAACCTTTGTCCAGCTGCAGAAACATGCAGTTGCTTGCGCGAAGCCTCAGCCCTGAAGTCTTGCTCTCAGCTTTTTTTTTCCTTTGTGAGTAGTACATCTCCTTTCCTCCGCGTCACACGACATGAAAAGCCCCCTTTGTTTCCTCTGTTCAGGTCCGAGGTGTTCGGCGGATGTCCGCTGCCTTGGCCGCTCCTCAAAAAAACCCCTTTCTCTTTCTTTTTGTGGAGTTGGGTGGAGCGAGGCTGAAGGTTTTTTGTGGAGAGCCCGCCGGTTCCTTTTGCCAGGCCCTGGGTCTCCGCGCCCCGCGGCTGCATACAGAGAAACTTGCTCGCACATTGCTTGTGCCGCCCTACTCCAGGCCCGCTGCCCTGAGCTGTTACTTGTTTTCCTGTGCAAGCTGCGCGATTTTAATCGTTTCCTGTCCTTGAGCCAATCCTGCAAGCGCGCGAGTAAACAAGTGATGTTGCACTGCTTGCTGTAAGTAAGATTCTTAAACCCAACCAGCACACTGCGGCCGACACTAGATCCGCACTGGCAATGGGTGCTGGTGACGTGTTGTAATGCTTGAGGGTTTAGATGGCTTAGGGCATGAAGGTGTCAGTACCAACGTCCAGGTTGAGGCTTTGAGGCCATCACCTGGACACGTATGACCCGCTACCCCCGTGCAAGCAGACTCCGTGAAGTTGCGAGCGTGTGCAAGCATGCATCCAAAGCTGCCCTCGCTAATCAAAGCTCATCACGAATGAAAGAAATCTGAGTGCTAGCCAGCTCTACGCTGAGCCAGATATAACGCAGTGCATGTACTTTAAAACCGGCATTCCACCCAAATGCAGCTTTCCCGCCATCAGCCGTACAGATATGTAGAGATGCATCCTGGCTGGAAATGTTCGACTCCGGTACTTGTCAACTACGATGAAACAGGATCTCTTGAATGATTTCAATACTCTGATGTCCTCCTATTTCAATCCTGACATGACTAAGGAAGAACTATGCAAAGACATATGCATGTCTATATACATATTTAGAGCATTTGACATGTCCGGAAGGGGGCTTGATACAATATCCGATGATGAAACTGGAAATAACGCATACATGGCGACAAATGGCAGAGCACTCAAGATGATATGTGAGGCTCAAGAAGATTCTATTTATTCCGGAGCGAGTCCTTGACTGTGCATACAGCCTTCCCACACCATATTCGGTCCGGATGGCTTGAGACTATCTCCACTGGAAATCCCAATCGGTAAACTCTCATCTCAGCTCTAAGGCTTCGTGAAATGTTGGAAGGACCTGCAATGACGCATCCCTAGCTGAAATCCAGCAAGCGGCTCGCTTGGGGTTCACGCAGCCCTGGCCCGCAGCCCACTTGGAGCCAGTGACAATAGTGTTGTGCATGACACATGTTTTTAAGAGGCAACAAGTTGCTAACAGCGCATTCAGCTTAGTTCACCATGCTGATTGTCGCACAAACATTTAAGATCAAAATTGCCTGGCCACTGTCATCGGAACCCATGTTTGGGCAGACTTGTGCTGCTTGCCGGGCTCAAGCTGTTATTGCCCTTCAGCTTGGTTTGGTTTCTTCAGTAGGACATTGGATGACCATCACAGTTCATCCGGGTGTTGTTCATGAGGCTTTGCTTTGCCTTTGTAATGTGAGCTATTTAATGCCTGGACTTCATAGCCATGGAACGGAAACTTTATGCTGCGATCCCGGCTTTTTGGCAGGGTCAATGAAACAGTATGGCCAATGTTCGCGGAAGATCTTGAAAAGTTTATGTGCAGGCGACGATTTCCCACAGCGATGTGAGATCAGTGGTGCGGGATGCAAGTCCACCTCGCTTCCCAGACGGCAGCGTTTTGTGGACCAGTCGCCGCTCGGGCGGTCGGAAAGCCCCATTTTGTCTTTGGTTTTCGGTAGCACGTTTGAGGCCCAGCCAAGAAAGAAAACAATAGCATGATCAGTCCCTTTTGAGCTGTGACCTAGTAGTCTTTAAGCTTAGTGTGAGTATCCCACAAAACAGAGACCCCCCAACAATCAATACCCCCAAACGTTGATATTAGTGTACGTTCAGCAAGTCCCCAATGTAGTTGATTCTGATATTTCTGATTTCCAAAGGCTTTCTGAAGTCTGCACGGCTTCAAGAAGATTTTTCTAGGTTTACCCCAAGCAAAGCTCTGAGGACATTCTTGGGCCTAAGCAAGAGTACCTCGTGCCCATGGAGCACATCACAGGTTCCCTGCATGCAGGATTGCCAGCGCCCCTGCACTGATGCAAGTCTGATTGTGTCAGCTCGGTTTTCTACAGGTTCCAGCGGCTTTCTTTTCTCGGGGGCCGCAGGCTCTACTTTAGAGAGCATCTTGCATGACAGCAGTGTTGCGCTGACAAGTCAGACCATGCGGCGTGCTATGAAGGTCAAGTGCAAAAAGATCATCAATGACGCGTCTACTATTTGCAAGCAGGTTCAGTGAAATCAACGTGTGTGAAACTGCTGCGTTTGTGATGTATATGTCAACCTGATCACAGTTTGAGGTATTTCTGCGCGTGAGCCTGAGCAGGGGATGCCACTCCTGGCTCGTCTCAAACTCCGAAACCGCGCCCAGGCGGAGCCGCCCGACCATTCCTCGCTGCCAAAGATTGTCGCAGCTCCAGCATGCGATGCACAGTGCAGCGACGGCACGGGCACGGCTTTTTTGGAACACGGCCCAGGAGCTGCCGCGATTCCTTGCGCGCAGCTTTGCAGAACAAGCCCAGAGCCCCAGAGCTCAGCACCGTCCGAGTGCCCCTGCCCTGATTCCGCTCCAAGGTGGGATTGGCTGGGGAGTTCTCGAAGCAGAGCACGTTCTACTTGAAGGAGGCTGCAAGATTTCTTGTGAACCAAGGCCTTCAAAGTGCAAGCCAGGCTTCCAAGCTGATTGATCAGACGCATCATCGTTTGGCAGGAGCCGCGCGCTCAAGAACGCAACACGGCTATGCTTGGGGGGGGTGCCCGCTCTACTTACTCTAGTTGTCCGAGCTTGCCCGATCTGCAGCTCCAGCACGAGCTCAAGAAGGCAGACGAGGCGAGCAGAACCCATATTGAGCGAATTGGAGAAGTTGGCAGATTTCCCTGCGATTTTCTTCTGCAGCCACGCGGCACACAAGTGTACACAGACGCGGGAATGGGTAGTTGCCGCCTGCCACTTTGTGCCAGAGGCTTGCGAGTCCAAGCTGTAACCATGGTAACGTCGCTGCCCTGCTTTCTCAAGAGAGTGCAATTTTGCACAGGCACCACATGGCTCCATCACTGCGACCGTGCATTCTGATTGGACCATGGGTACCTCAGCGCTTCTTGGCACCATCGTTCTTTCAGAAGCGGGTGTTCGTGTGTCCCACAGCCCTCAACACTAAGGTGTGGCAACTGTAACATGGAAGCGTACCAGGCAGAATATGTGGAACAGGCACAGGTTCCAGGGTCTTGGTCTTTTCACGAGTGAACAGGAGATATCCCGGATGCGTCTTCTGTTGGCTTCCGATTTGCAGGAGAGTCTTGCCATTTAAAGCTGGAAGGAATTGCCAAACTCTCATGAGGATCTGACGGCCAACTCTCTTACCGATTTGGTTGGCTCCTCGGTGCAAGATCGCTGCACGATCCGAGGATCCAAGCGCCTTTTTCCCCAAGGACCTCACAGGTCGCTCCCTGGGAGATGCAGGCGGCGCTGTCGATTGTGTCGATCGATGCCTTTCAGCTCCCTGCAATGCTGAACTGTTTCAGGGGCTAGGGTGGTGGCGGACGCCATCAAGGCCGCGAGCACCAGCAAACCCTCTCTCAAATTTTGGGAAATGTGCTTAGATGCACCCGATGCAGGGACACACGTCACTGAAAGTCTTGAGCGAGGCTCCTAAAGTGAGAACACGCAGTTCTAGTGAGTGCCAGCCAGTGACTTACTTGAGGCCTCCGCTGGAACAGTATCCGGGCGGAGGGCGCTGCAGCGATGGCCCAAGCAGCCTGCGATTGTGAGCACATTCTGGCGCAATCTCCTCGAGCCTCAGGCAGTTGCCGATGCCCTTTCCGGATCAAGTGGCCTCAGGTGCCATAACCTTAGTAGCTGTGGGTGACAACGAGCTAGGTCACGTGTGTCTCTGAGACTAGGCCTGGATGTTTTCTGCAACTTTTTCGGCGATGGTGGAGCTGCAGCGATGGTGCCACACTCAGGCTATGCACATTCGCGGAGGCATCTGAATCTCAAGCAGAAAGGCAACTGCGCTCCTGAGCAATCGGTCCCTGGAGAAGCTGGACATGGGCCATGGGCCTAACTCTCAGAACACCTGAGGGACCTGCAGCTTGAATGTGAAAGGCTACAACTCCATCAGCGACCGCGGTGCGGCGACTTTCTCAGCCTTCATCGAGAGAGATGGATCGCTTTTGCATTTCTTCGGCTGCTGAGGCTGCACTGGCCTCCTCACTGAAGGAGAACCCGAAGCTCACCGAACTCGGTAAGCGGCTCTGAGTGAAGTTTGTTTTGGCATTCTTTACCCTAGCTGCAGGGCTGGAGCAGAACGGCATCGTAATGGGAGCCACGGCTCTTGCGGAGGACGCCAGCAGCACCCCCCAACTTTGTTCGCAAGGAAGAGCTCTCAGTGGGCAAGTTGGGTTGACATGCGGGTACGTCTTACTTACGCAGTTGTGCAATGCCACCACAGCACTGTTCGGGGGGCCCGGGCCACGAACTGACTGTAGGGTCGCTACTGGTGATGTGGCCATGTGGCATTGCAGCACGTGTTGGAATTTTGATGGCATTTCGCCAGGCGCTTGTAACGAGGAGCGGCTCCTGCATCAAGCTTGCAGGCAACCCGCTGGATGAGGCTGGGGATGGTGACCTGGTGTACTGCTGTTTGCATTGTCTGGCTTTGGCTAAGGGAAGCCTTGGCGCTCTGGAAAGGCTCGTGCAAAGCGGCCAGTCTGACGCCAAGCAATCCTCAGAGCCTAGCCAGATCGAAACGTATGCGGCCCCAAGGCTGGGAAGTCTGGATGTCTGGGATGCCTCCGAGAGGCTCTGCCGGTGTCGGGTTTTGATTTTGGTCTCTGTGTCTGTTGCCAGGATGGCCATTAGTGACCGTGCTTCATTGAGACGCAGCCCCAGGATGCTGCCCGGCTTCATGAAAAGATGCCTCCAACCCAAAGCTCAGGCAGCGATGTGGCAGAGGCAGAGCGCCAGGCCGAGCGCCAGGCCAGGACGAAACGCGTAACCTGCCATGAAAATGAGGTACAAAAGTGTTGTGACGGTGTTGCGACGGTCTTGTGAAGTGAATGCTGGTGAAGAAGCCAGGCCAATGAGTCTCTGCCCTTGGCGCCTTTTCCCGGCTGTGAGGAAGCTGCCGGGCTGGGAGAGGGCTCGGAAAAAAGAATTGGAGAGCCCTGTTGCCTACCTTCTGCACAACTCGCGCACAGTGCCTCCTGCTCAATCCAGCACTGAACAGGCTGGCCTGGTCGGCAGGACTTGCTTTTGCACCAAGCATCATGTTTTCATCTTGGGCTGAGTGAGTCAGCGCCTGCTGAAAGAGGCTTTGCAGCCGTTTTGGATGAGGGGCATGTTGCGATGATTGTCACGATTAAGCAGTTTTCACGGGGTGTCCTTTGGCCTGAAGGCTCTTGCATGTACACAACAGCACACGCTTCGCTGAAATACCATCATGCCCAATTGAGCACATGATGATGCAGCAAAGTGGAGACAACTGCTTTCCTCGCCCAATAACCATACCCAACCCAACCGACAGCTCAGCTGAACCCCAAGGCACTTCCCCTAGTTGTGTGTGGGTCATCAAGCCCATGTGCGACAAGCTCCATGGGGATAACTTGTGGGCGTGCCAGCTTTCCGAATGCTAATTTCAACTCCCAGGCCATTTAGTTGACGCAAGAATTCTGGGGAAGAAAGAATCCAAGAGAATCAAGTTGCTAGGTGACTCGGAACTCCATCCGCAAAGCTCAGCGCATAGCGTATGCATTGGCCTCAGTTGAGTAAGTCGTGCCAGCGTCGCCACGCAAATTCGGCCAATTTGTGGCAAACATTTGTTGTCGAGGTCTGTGACGTGGAGGGGCACTGGGAGTTCTTCTGCAACTTTGTCGAGCTTTGCGAAGGTATCAAGTTCAAGCTACCCGGCAATGCGTCCTGCCTGCCTTTAATCATCGCCCTCCGACCAGGGATTTCAGAGAGCTTTGTGTGCTGAACGTTTGCCCTTTCCAAGGATGGTCGAAGGGCACGGACTTCCCAAGAGCTGGACTGCTGCTGGCTGCTCTCGTGATGTAGCAAGCCAGTAAGGGACACGTTGTATCTGCAAGGAGCTGGAACTTGCCGAGGGCTGGCTCTTTGTCTTTGGGGGCGATGCCTGTGACAAAGGCAGCGAAGAATCCAGCAAAGCTCTGAATGTTTTTCCACCCTTCAGAGGCCCGGGAACACTCCGGTTCTTGGAAGCCATGGTGATGTTGAAAAGGCACGAGATGCAGGAGCTGATGAGACATTGCCTTCAATCTGCTTTATTGAGGAAATACCCGTCAAGGGTCTTCATCATCCTTGGCAATCGAGCGTGTGCCCAAGTCATGGCCCCTAAGCAGACTGGGCCAGAAAGCACTTGCAGCCTCCCTGAGGATCTGAACAAGATGCGATGGACTTCAGAGCTCACCCACACCGAACTAAAGCGTATCAAGGAGGCCCTGCCCTGAGAAATGCACTGTGACGGTCTGTGCACATGACTGGGCAACTTGCGCGATTTCAGACAGAACTCCATCCTGTTGTTTAACGCGTTTTTTCTGCTGTTGTTGCTTGTTTTTTTGCTTTGTTTCGGGTGTTTTGGATTCCTTACTGGCTTCGTGGCTTCTTGGCTTTTTGACTTCTCAGGCTCCTCTGCTTGCTGTTGTTCTGGCTTCTCCGGCTTCTCGTTTTTGTTGGCTTCTGGCATGCGAGCTTCTTGGCTTCCTGGCTTATTGTCTTCTTGTCTTGAACCGCCCCCCAGGCCAGCAAGTTAGCCATGTTCATTCTGAGTTCTTGGCCCGTACCATGTTTTAGGGTTACTACGCTTTTGCCATTACCATGACTATAGCTATCCCATAGATGCCAGTTTTTTCTATCACTATGATGAATACTGTTATTATTGTTCTGATTATTACCATTACTAGTAGTGGTAGTAGTAGTAGTAGCAGCAGCAGCAGTAGCAGCAGCATTACCATTAGTGTCACTATCAGTATCATTGTTACGATCGTTACTATGGTTATTGCCATATTTATTTCCATCACTGCTATTGTCTCTATTCCTATCCATATAACTCTTACTGTTACAGAACGTTACGCCTTGGCGGTGTGTATTTGTGGGGCTTCAGATCTAAAGCAGAACATTTCATGTTACGGTTCATTAAGTTAATATTAAAAAACACTCTCATTGGAGACCTCTCCATGAGCCCTGAGAGGCTTTGGGAAGCCTTCGTGAGGCTCCAGGAGGCTCTCCAAGGGTGGAAAATCGCACCGCCCCCCCTCCCCCCGGCTTCTCCTGTTGGAAACACGTCTTTTTTAGGGCCTATAGTCCCGCCTTTCAGATCCCTCCAGCCTGGGAACTTCCAGCCAGCAGTGCCTCCGACGCCCCTCCCACTCTCTTTGGCAATCTACAAGCCCTTCATACATTCATCCTGGCTTCGTCTAATTGACAAAAAAATCGTAATCAATATAATCCATGCCAAGTGCCGCCAGGCTGATGCGGTGTCTAAACAAGCTAAAGTTTGGGAACCTACATGTACACCTGGGCGATAGGCAGCAGCCTTCATAACAATGATCCGGATTGGTGAGGGCAGGCTACATATTCCACTAGAGTCTAATATGTCAGGCAGATCGATGAGAGGATTTGCGGCGACTGCTAATAGACGACTAGGATCTGCACGTGTCCTTGCACGTCGTGGACTGACTCAAAATCGCAATGGCTGGGATAGTCGGTTGGGGGGCTCAAGTGGTGCACGTGCCAACAGCACATGCTTGATGCTTGCCAGCATCTCAAGAGAAGTTCCAAACCATGTGTTTCGTGAATCGACTTAAATGTTTGTCAAGGGTTATAGTTGTATTTCCAAAGCTAAAGCTGACGATTTCATAGGACTGCCTCGACTGACATGGGCAAAGCCTGTGAGGCCTGCATTCAACATTTCATGTCGAATATTTTCTACTACTACTACTACTACTACTACTACTCCTGCTACTACTACTATTACTATTACTATTACTATTACTATTACTTCTGCTACTGCTGCTCCTGCTACTACTACTATTTATACTACTTGTACTATGAATGCAACTTAGTGTTACGATCACATTTTTCTTCTGCTTATACTTTTTGCCCATATTAACTCGATGGCTGCGACCGAAGCTTCTATTCCGGCTATTGCTCTTTGTGGTTTCCCTGGCTACTGCTATAGCTCTATTACTGTTTTGCTGATGATTGCTGCGGTCATTGTTTCTCACTGTATCTCCCTGATGACGGTAAGAATAGAACAACTGTCATAAGAAAGTCATGCTCATAAAGAAGGTGGTAAGATTGATCATTTCATAGAAATGACCAGAGGGCTAGTCGTATTCCTAATGCGCTGAGATTAATAGCAATACCAGTAATAATTGTGAAAAACAACAACCAGTATAACAAACACTGTAAAGTAGTTTAAGCCATTCTTAATACTCTTGCTAGCTATCGCACTCATCCTTATCGGTGTTGCTCCTATTCTTATTGTCAGTATTCTCAGTTGACGATGATTGTTGTCGTTCGTTTGTAGCTTCTTATGATTCTTAGTATCACTATCAGTAACACATCTTCTCATGTTATTTTTACTGTTCTCATTATCTTGATTATTTTTGCAACGAGTAATGCTGGTTCTCATTTCTGAAATATCATTATCATTTATTGAGCTCTCGCAGGAACATCCTAATAGATTGATTGATCTCTCGCGTAGACTATCCCCAAGTCTCGGCTCAAGATTCAGCTCTCGCGTGGATTTCTCACTTTTTGACATTGAATTGCGCTCCGGCATAGAGCAGCATCAAATTTGGACTCAAAATTGAGCTCTCGCGCGGATCGTCCTCACATGTTTGGTCTACAGAAATTATACAAAAACCCTAAACTAAACTTAACGCTACCACTCGCCGCCTTGGCCGGCTCGAATGCGAATCACCCGACAAAACGAGCGATTGCATGCAATATGCACCCCAAGACACATTTAGTAATATGGCAATTACAGAATCCTCCAGCTGCATAGTTGGGTTGACAGGCCAACCAGAAAAAAGGCTAGAGGATGGGGAGGGCCGGAGGAGAGGGGGAGGGAGGGGCAGGCGGGTTGAAGGGGGGATGGGTAGAGTCTTGCTCCCCCAAACGCCAGAGGCCAGGGGCCTCGGCGGATTCTGTGCCATTTCAGACATGCAGCTTTGAGGTGCCCCGAGCATTTTGGCAGTCGCGACTTCCGGGCAATTGCCTGATCCTTGGGGTTTGCCAATTCGGCCATTCCATGCGCGTGTTGCAAAAGTGCAATCATTCATTGATGGAGCTTCGCTGCATCTTTCGATGCAAGGCCCTACACACTGGGAGTACCTACGAAGAAAGGTCGCCCAGGAAGAGGGCCTGAACGAGGCTGGCAATGAGTTCCCATCCTTGCACGTTCAGCAGCTCAGCCAGTTGCATGTTTCGTGCAGGACGAAGTCACGGAAAAGATGATTGAGAACCGAAACACCAAAGCAAACAAGCTTCTTGTTTTTCTAGCAACTTCTTGCAACCTGTGAAAGACGAGAGATTCTCATGCTTGGATTACGTCAAGCGCCTTCTTGGTCAAAGGCTACGCTACATGCTGGACTGCGATATGGGGTCTGTTGGAGACTTCGAGTTTAGACGAGAGGCAGGAAGCATAAATCTCATGAGTGTGTGCAGAAGTTTTTTGAGTCCTGAGAAGTCAGGAGTTGGCTCACCTTCTCAACGTTCGCAAGGAAGATGTCACCGACGAGGCGCAAAAAGCGTCAACGGTCGTGCTCGGCATGCCCCTGTGAATTCAGGATGTCGTCGAGAGCTACGAGCGCAGCGTTGCCCCGGGTGGTGTGATGAGGCTGGGGAACCCGGGCAGTTGCACAGCATCAGCCGTCGAGCAAGTTTGTGCCTGTTCCAGGAAATTCCTGAATCTGGGGCAGCTGGCTCTTTTCATTGACGGGACCCTCTTCGTGCATGGGCAGGCTGCCAACACCAGCAGCCCTGCGAAGCACAGATGGTTGTAACAGCACTCGTGCAGATCATTGGCAACCAGTTCCCGCCAGAACAAGTCTTAGGCCTTGGCGGTTGCTGTGGAAGGAATGTCTCGACATGTTCTAGCTCAGCCTGAGACAGGGGCCGACGAAGAGAACACTGCGTGGAGCTTGGGCGTCGTGCCTGGGCAGGCTTGAAACTCACAGGTTGGGCCACTAGGTAATTTGACATGGGCTCTTCGACAGGAGCGGGAGCATGATCTGCAGCACCTCAGAAAGCAAGCGGGCACATGATTTGATACCCGTTCAGATGTCAAGCAGCAATGACTGCCGCATATTGTTGTCGGATTGTTGAGGAAGTGGATTGCCAAGCTCAACAATTGGTGCGCTGCAGAGATTAGGCTCCTGCTTCGAAGGATAGGATGCTGAAACGCTTTCACTGAATTCTGACCGCCAGGGACTGGCAAAACCGGCCACAGTGGGAAGTCCCGCCGCGAGTGTCAACTTTCGAGCCTCACGCCTGCAAATCTGTAAATGCCATCCCAGAATCCCAGCCCAACCCCTGTTGACCAAGGTCATGGTCCCAGCGAGGGGCTGCAGAGTTGATTGCCTATGGCACACCCGGCACTCGATATCCCACAGTGATTTACTGCAGGCCCGGCTCTCAATCGATGTGACAGTGCAAGCTGTTCAGTGTGCCTGGAAGGTACTTGACTGAGCAGAGCATGCCTCTGCAATATCCAGAGAACTTGGTTCACTACTTGAGGGACCAAGGGGTCAAGTTTGTGGTGGTGGGCCACACGCCACACGGCAATGCTCCAACCGTAGTCATGCACGACGGGGTGACCCTCATCATGGGCGACACTTCCTTCAGAAGCTGGGTAAGCAATTCTGCGGCGCATCACTGGTATGTCATCCCAGCATGAACGTCAGACGACTAGACGAGCATGTGGCAGCGCTGAGGTGATTTGAAAGCAAATCGATTCTTCCAGGGAGACAATCGTGGCACTGCTGCCTGCAGCATTGAATTCCGGGGACATGCCTGGGCCGTGCACGGGCACACCGACAAGGCGATAAAGACAAAAAAGGCAGTTCGACATGTTTGCTTGTTGCAGCATTTTGCTTGTCAGGAGCAGGCCTTCGGCTATTCTATTGGCCCCGGCATCATGCCGGGATGTGATCCGCTTGTTGGGCGGTTTACAAAGCCAACTCGAGAAGGCCAGATCTCAGAAATCGACTTTGCTTGCCTCAGCCCTGTCCCGACCCGCGAACAGGCAAGCAGTTTTTCGTAAAAGCGAAGCTGACATCGACGGATAACCAGGCACAGTACTTGCTGTGCCTTGGTCCGTAGCAGAGTCCCTTGAGAAATGCAGCGAGCTCATGCAGGGCTGCGTTTGTTGGATGGCCAAGGAGTCATGTCCAGGGTTTTCGTTACGAGTATGCCGTGTCCAGCAATGATGAGGCATGCTGTGTTTGTGCGCTTGTGACCTGTCGGTAGGTGGGGTCCTGTTATCACAAGTCCTTTCACAGGTGGCCACGGCCATTGAGGAAGGCTCGGTCCATTTTCTTTCCGAGCGGCTCCTGATGGAGTTCTTGGAGCAAGATGTGATGTCCAAGATTCGACACCTTTTTCACATGCTGGACATGAATGATGACGGCACGATTTCGATGACCGAGCTTGTCGCAGCCATCAATGATCCGCTCTTTCGGCGTGGCTTGAGAAGCATCTTTCCAACGTTAGATCCAATCTCCCTGCTGTCGAGTGCGACGCTGATGGACGGCGAGCTTGGCCCAGAGCAGCTACTTGGAGTCTTCTTGGCTTTTGCGTGTCTCGTGTAGCCTTTGCAGCCTTTGCCCCTTTAGCTTGACCTTTGGGCTTTTGGCATGCTTGGGCCATTTTGGGCCTGCGAGGTTCCATGATCTTTGCAAAAAGCACGCGGACAAGGGCAAGCTGGAAAGCTGCATCTATTTTCCGCTGGTCATGAGTGGGGAGGCATCCGCTGTTGGTACATTCCCGAAGGCCATGAGGGAGTAGGACGGTAGGACCAGGAAGAGAATCTGAAAGCGCTCAACACTGTGAAACTGTCTCTCGCAGGCACTTCCCAACTTCAATTGCATCCCCACAAAGTATGTCCAGCCAGCACATCTCGCAGTCTTTAAGGGTCACTTGGCAAGCTGGAGCCAGCAGCCGAGAAGCTTCGAGTGCGACCTGACCAACCTCAAGTGCCCAGATTCCTGGCAGAGCTTTTGTTTCCTCACTTTTCTCACTTGCTACTTCAGGTTATGTTCCTAGGAAAAGCTGGTGATCCCTGCTGAGGAGTCTTCGCAGATGCACTCCTTCTGCAAGTCGCTCAAGCCGAAGAAAAACGTATCCTCCTGCATGCAGCTGGGCCAGTCAAGCTTTTCAGACACAAAAAAGCATTCGTTGCCTGGAGCGTTGGAGTGCCATGTTTCACCATGCACTGTGCGCACTGTGCTGCAATTGCTGCAAGGTCAGCCATTGCTGAGCTGAATATGCCGGAAGCAGAGAGGCGCAGGCTGAGAATCCCTGCCACAGGTAAGCACTTTGCTTGGAGCCGCTGGACTGGACTGGAGGGATGGCTGGGTCATGTAAACGGATTCTGAAAGGTTTGGCAACTTTCTGACGTCTGAGGTTATCCTTTTTCTCTAGTCCGCTCTTGGAACTCGGGTCTGGAGCCACCCAAGCCTGGTGCCGCAATGGATCCCGACATTGCCTTCCTGACGGTCGGAGGCTTCGTCTATTTCGCAGCTTGGAAGAATGAAGAGTACCCCAGTCCAGGAAAGTTGAGAAGGGCTTGCGATCGCGGCTCAGGATGACCACTACCAGCCAGTGCACATCAACGCAGCAGTGCCAGACCCAAAGGGCCGGCTCCGCTTCGGGCCACCCAGGCACCGTGCGTAGAACTGTCTTGCCTTGTCAAGTGTGTCAAAGCCCTGGGCACAGGCATGTGCCGCATGCGTGGGCTGAGAGGCAGCTTGCACGTCAGCAACTCAGAGTTGACATCAGCACTGCACTTCGCTGCACCTCGATAGCTAACGCTCGCAACCGCTTGCCAGGTGGGAGCTTCCAGCCCATCACGTTGCACATGCTGCTGAAGCAAGGTGCATCGGACTATGCCTGGCTGCCGTACCTGGACTTGTTTGTAAGCTGTTGAATGTGTTTGGCAGCGGCACGGCCACAGGGTATAGCGTTGTTGATGAAGAGGCTGTAAGACCGAGGCCTCTAGTCAACCACAGCAGTGCCGAACCGGATTGCCCCCTGCTGAGCGATGCGCGATGCTGAGAAGAGTCCAAGCAGGAGTGAGCTGAGCATCCATAAAGGTCCGTACGGAGGCTTTGCCTACTTGGGCAGAGGACTGCTGCACTTTCTCTTGTCCTCCAGCCCTGCACCTGTTGTTTTGCTCGTTTGTGCAGGCCTTGCCGATTTCGACCTGTATGACGAGGTTTTGATTTGTTCCCTTTAGCTGGCTTTAGTGGAAGCCTCCTTTTGTGAATCGTTTTGAGTGCATTCTGCAAGCTGCACAAAAGCAGTTGAATTAGCGGGCGCCGGCCAAGCCGTCAGCCCGCGCAAGCCAGATGGACATTGCACAAACGGCAGCCCCTTGAGGTCATGAGAGCTTTGCTTGTAGTAAGTTGGTACCTTCCTAGCAGTACACTGTTTTATCCCGAAGCTTCAGTGCCGCGGCTGTAAGAGGTCGTGGAGAGGAGGGCTTAATAGCCTTAACAGCTGCTGCCTGCACAGCCGGCGCAGTCGGAGTCAAGCTGCAAGTTCTCCAGGATCCAATGCAGCAAGGGCTTGCATCGGGTTGAGACTTCGCGGCCTGTGGCAGGAGCCATCAACATCCAGGAACGCACAATAGCATGGAGGGCATTGGTTCACCGCCTTCCAGAGCTCCCGGCACGGCTGGCTCTGTCAGCGTCGCTGATACGTTGTGCGCGGAGGGCTCCAGTTGGAGTTGTGCGTAGTCACATCAAACCCAAAAAAAGGGCATCAGCTAGAATGGAAAACGCCGGAACGCACATTTCAGAGTTGCCGAATTTGGCTTTGTCAATTGCTCTTTTAACTCCAATTATCTGGCAGACTCCTTGACCAAGGATCCAGGAAGGGAGAGCTTGGCAAGGAGAAGCAGTTTTAATCCGAAAAGAGCAGAACCACAACTAAGCCTGTCATTGAAAGCCTTTGCAAGCTGCAAACTAGGCAACCTTCACAGGCTGCTTTCGAAGCCAGGCGAAGTTGATGATCCGTCGCAGAAAAGGCTAAGCCGAAAAAAGAAAAGTTGAAAGACCCCTAGGGTGCATTCTAGGACATGGTTGGACTGCCACACCAGTAGCGGAGAAAGATGACAGTTCTCTCATCAAGCGGGGACTACTGAGTAGTGCAAAACATGAGCAATACATTGGATCTGTGATTGCAGATCGGCATCAGTGGCATTTGTTGCATGGGTTCCTGTTGGTTGCACTGACGCTGGTTTCACGCAATGCAAAAGTAGGAAAGGGCTTGGGCTTGACAGCCAGTCAAGCTTTGTGCCTGGCACCTTGTGCTTTCTTGTGTTGGGGACACGGCGGCTTCGAGGAGACTTTCGTCATGGCAGAAGATGGTGGCCCAGGAGGGGCCACACCTACTTGCAGACGCTTATGATTCTTGTAATAATATGCTTGCAGTATTCCCGTATCCTACGCTCTCCAGGCGGCTCGTGAGGCAGAAGAGGCGCACTCGGAAGCCCTACGCTCGGTCCTTGGGATTCTCTAAGCTTTACCGATACGTCTTCTCGAATGATACGAGGTGCGAAAACGCTGTGTGGAAAGCCTGCGTCCAAAGACGTGTAGCATGTGAAGATCCCCGCCCAATGCCTTGTGCCATGTTTTCGAAGCTCAGGGCGCTGAAAAATGCCACGTCGGGTCCTCTCCAAGAGGCCGTTTTGCAGGCCTTGTGCAGGCCTGTTTGAGAGACGGTGTTGACCTGTGAGGCTGAGAAGCAGGGCAAGGACTTGATAACTGAGCCACTCATGGCTTCTTTGGAGGCATCTTGAAAGGCCAGCCAATTCATCCCAGTGTCCGCCCTCCGCCGCGACAACGCAGGCTGTTCGTGGTCCTCGTGCAGTCGTTACGCCATGGACAAGCTTGGATCCTCAGCTTTCCTTCCCCCCAAGAAGCAGTCTAGTGGGACATGACATCAGGTCATGCAGCGCATCCACCCGGGTTGTACTGTGAGAAGGCGGGATCTCAGATGCTGGTGGTTTGGAGGGGATGCTGTGATGCTGTTTCCAGCCATCAGGTGTGCGAAAATCGCCCAGAGCAGGAAGAGCACTTCTTGGCCTGAGCATTTGACTCTTTAGATTTCCGAATAATCACATGGTCAACATGACCACGCAGTCTGTAGCAGGATCCAACAGGATTGTGACTCTTTGCGGCATAAGTGCAGCTTTGGATTCATGTGGAGGGTCCCGTTGTGTGCTAGGGTCTTGCCGTTGCATGCTTCATTCCCTACGGTGCAAACATGGAAGCCAATTGCTCGATGTAGCAAATCCCGTTTTTGGGGTTCCTGCATGTTCTTTTTGTTTTGTTGCATGGCTTGTAGCTAGGACATGGAATTGCCCAATATCATTCTAAGATGCCCATATTTCTCACATCTTATCTACTTCAGGGGGCTGTTACATAAGCTGGCAAGCTAGAAGCTAAACCCTCCCAAAATCTAAATTCACTCAATCCCACGAGGACGCCGCTTGCTGAAGAATGCTGCAAGGCCTAGCGTACTGGAATGTCCTGCGTACTGAAATGTCCTGAGCTGTTGGAAGTCATGAAAACAAGTCAACTTTGACACCCACCATGCAACCTGAAATGATTCAGTGATTAGCGTCCTAGAACAACATGCAAATATGTTTTAAATTCGTTTTTAGAGGCGAGAACCTGGAAGTAGGGGAGTTCTGAAAGAGTCCCCAAGGCAAGAAGACACAAAACATGTACATCTCAAGCAAACATGGAACCGATGTTTAGGCTGGGCCCCCACCCACTAACAGTGACCACAAGAGATAGAGGTACTTATGTTTACTAGGGCCTCTTTATGTTTCCTGTATACCACTATGAGTGCCAAAACATTTTGTTCGAATAGCAGAGCAGACACTCCTTACTGTTAGAAGGGTTCTGCAAACATCCGAATATCATTCCAAACCTAGTGTAGCCAAGAGGCCCAACAGGCGAACAGGGGTGTCTCAAAATCAGTTAAGATTTTTCTAATATTCTAGGGTCATGCGGAACGTTCTATTATTCAGCTATAGACCCCCAGATTCAAAACTACATGATGCCTTCGTAGGAAACCTCTTTGTTAAAGGAGGTGGGACATTGAAGAACGTGACTGAATTATGCAATGCTGGCATGCACCATAAAAAAGGAGAAGCCACTCGTGAGATCAAGGGGAACTTTGCAACGGTTCTTCAGGTTTTGCTATACACTCTTGTATAAAAACATTGGTTCAACAGCATAAAAGCCCCCAACCGTGTTTTCACAAATAGCATTAGTAAAAGCAAGCAGAATAAGAAGAAGAAGAAGAATCATATCAATAATACTAGTGATAATGAACCCTATACACACAGGGTCTACAGCAACTCTGCAGACATTTCTAAGCAAAGCTGTGGTTTCCGCAGCGGTCTCCTTGCCTCGTGCCGCATGTCTTTCTGAATCGGAAACACTCTGCGGCTCTTCTGCAGATACGTGGGCGATCTACGATGCAGATGGCACATTTTGCAGTCTGGCTTCTAAACATAAGGGTCCCCTCTTATACTCCTGCTGCCATGATCCGTGTCCTCTAGTGGCCCTTACCCGTTTGCGGATCCCCCAAGTGAGCTGTAGTCTCAACTCTTGGAAGGGCATTTCATAGGGAAGAATTATAGGGGGTATTGAGGGGGATACTAGGAGTTTATAGACCATGGCTCAAGTATGCTTCGTGCGCTCAGGTCAGCCACTCTCAAGCGAAGCTGAGCTAGCTCGCAATCGCATGGTGCCTGGGTAGCTTTGGGGATTTCCCAAAATTAGGGGTACCGCTTTCAGGGTCCCAAGAGTAAGGATTCGAATATTGTGGAGTCTACAATGGGGTCGGTCTCCTTATTCAGGGAAAGAACCATTTATTGCTTGGGGATTGGGGGGTTTGGGTTATTCTCCCCAGGTCCCAAACCTGAACATAAAAAATTGTTCTTTGTGGCATGTGGCACTGTACAGCTGTGAGAGTAGACCGGCTCCAGCTCAGGTTCCCCAAGGCCCCCAAGCTTTTGATGGCACTTTCCTGTGCCGGCTTTGAAGCGACCCAATGGGCTACAAGCCATGACAAGCCATGGCACACATCGGGTCGAAGGTCATCTCAGGATTCTTCTCAACCGCGTAGCACCTAGACAGCAGAGTATTGGCAGGCCAGCCGCAAGTTGTTGCGTTTTGTGATTGCCGAGAGTTTAGGCGAGGGCGGAAGGCCCCTGAAATTGGCTTGGGGGTGGGGAGCTGATGGCACAAACAGCTTTAGAAGTACTTTTACTGGCAATAGGTACTTGGTCTTACACCCCTCATTTAGCACGCATATGCATACGACAAGTAGGTAGCAGTAGCTTGAGTAGCTAGTTCTTTTGTGAATTGTAGCCACAAGGAGTACAAGCATCACTGGTTTTTCTATTAGGAAAGGAGTTTGGATAAGCAGCAGACATGGAAGTAGTTGTGTTTCGAACTTGCGGATTCGCATTCAGTATCGTGTACTTAGTGTTCAACTTTTGGCATTCAGCATTGGCACCGGTATTAAATTCCAGTGTATGCAATTGCAAAAGATCTGGCCTAGTAGAAGTGGCAGCATTTCGTGTTCAGTATTTGGCGTTGTGATGAAGTATGAAATTGGCATTAAGATGAAGTATGACTGCTCAGTAGTGTGCTTGGTTTTTGGAATGTTGCATATACAGTTTTCTTAGTGGAATGAACTTCACCACTCAATATTGATATAAAGTCTTGGCACTTTGCCAGTACATAATTACTTGCACTAGCACTCGCAACTCCTCCAAAATGGAACTTCTAAGTGCTCCTTATTCAGTTGGCCCCCAAACCCTTCAGCAGATCATTCAGGAGCCTCACCAGATTAGTTTCGAAATTGTAGGACCCCGAAGCAGTGCCCCAAGCAATGACCCTGAGGAACCAACAAATGTTGACCTCATATAGATGACCCGAGGATGACCCGAGCAGAACAGGGTGCCGCATTGGAGCAACATTAATCTTTTTTTCGCGGTTGTTGCATTTCCGCTAAGGACCGGGCCATTCCTGAGGGGCGGAGCCAGGCGATTCGGGATCTGATGGATGAGCAGGATGTCCCGCGCAGTGACACTGGACCTGTGCGGTCCCTCACCTTCTGCACTGTCTGCTTGCGGAGACATCGTCAGCTTTGTGATGCTATGCGTCACAACTTTGCATTCAGGCCGCACCTGGCAATGCGTGATTCTTGCATTTTGGTTTGCATGCAGTAGAGTCTATCCCCAAGACCCTACTGCTTCAAGGTGACACTGGCTGCCAGCGCACGCAGGCGCACCGCACGAACTCGCTGGTGTTTCATTCTGGCTGAAGATGCCGAAGAAGCGATCTGCCTGCAATGCCTTCAAAGCCTACTCGACGCACATGGAGTGCAGGAACTGGAGGGCAGGCCTTTGCCGATCTGCAGCCCACACAGCGGTACTTTCACACAAGCTGGGCGAAAAGCAGGTCGCACCAGTTTGCGGCAAGCCCGAAAGGGGGAATGGACAGTCTTGTGTGAAAACCCAGTGCGCCTCGCTCATTATAAAGGTCCGTCCCACACAGTCATCTTTGATTATTGCTTGTCCTTGAAGTGACACGTGAGTGCTCCGATTCGGCTTGGGACAGCTCGGAAACGGGCGTCGGTGGTGCAGCATCAGTTTGAAAAATGTATTGGCATGTGTTACTTAACGAGAAGCTTTGTGCAAATTGTCGCGAACCGGAAGTGCAGAATGGACAGTCTTGTGTAAAACCCACCGCTCTGCTCCCATTATAGAGGTCCCACGCAGTCATCTTTGATTGTTGCTTGTCCTTGAAGTGACACGTGAGTGCTCTGATTCGGCTTGGGTTAGCTCGGAAACGGGCCTCGTCACCCTCTCATGGAAAGCTTTGGTCTAAGGTGTCTTCCTGGGTTGTAGCTTATCCCTGAAGAAGTGGAGCAGTGTTGCTGTCTAGCTCAAAATTGGGTGGAGGTGTCACAAGCCCTGCGGAGCCAGCAGATTCAGACGGCGAAATCATCTCAGTCTAGGAGCCTTGTGCTTTGGCTGCTCTGGGATGGGCTCTTGGATTAGATCTGCTCTCCTAGAAACTAGCATGGCAACCTTCAGAGGGCCTTATGAAGTCTTCCTTCAGATCGGGGCTATGTGGTTTTGCGTGTTAGCTTCCAGGAGAGTAGGCGTTTAGATTTAGCGTTTACCCGCCAGAGCTGGCACAGTGACTCACCAGCTTTAAGGATGCTGCAGGCATTCGGAGGGCACCTGAAGCTTAAAAACTTTCCTATGGGGCCTCTGCAAAGTCTATGCCATGGACTGTGATGGAGTGCCAACGCATAAGTGTTCTGCGCATTTTGCAGCCCACACTTCCTAGCTTCTGCCACAAAGCCTCCGGCAGTCAGATCCTGCGTGGTATGAAGTTCTCGGTGTCAACATGTTGCCAGTTCACGTGGTTGCATAGCCTTGCGCCTCTATAGTGGGCGCAGCAGGCAAAACCGCAAAAATGGCAGGTTGGCCGCCTCATTCCTTTCACTTGAATGTCAAGTGGTACCCTTGCAGCCCTCGCACGCCGATCGCTGTGTCTAGGCACATGTATTTCATTTTGTTGGAAGCGTCAGCTAGGCCAGGCCGTAGAGGCTGCGTTGTTGCTGTGGGCGCCCTTGCATGGCGCACTCCAGGCCTGTTGAATCAAAAGATGCAACCTGTGCCATTTGCAGCCCGCACTGACGGCGCTGCTGTTTTTTTGCAAGAAGCTAGTCACAGCCGAGCGGTGCCCGATAGCGTGCTCGTGCAAGCTGCAAAAGCTTGCTGGGTCGTCTCGTCGGCCCGGTTCCTGCGAGGTTCTCGCATTGAGGTTCTGGGCTGGATGGGGAGTATGCTCACACAGTCACCTCAGCCGCTATTTTGGCATTTGTCCCTGTCATGTGCCACTTTCGGCTTTTCGGCTATCCCAGCATACCATGGCTTTGCTTAAGGCATCCTTGCACACAGAACCTCACAGCAAGGAATGGCACCGAGGGCAGGCCAAAGACCAGAAGCCAGGCAATGCATGTTTCGTGTTGCCTGAGAGCTCAGCTGTCTTCCAAGCTGAAGCATACCAGAATCAGGAACCATATGTTGCATGTTCGGTTTGCGCAAGTTCTGCAGACTTCCAGGGTGCTTTGCTGCAAAGCTTCGCTTGCAGCGTGCTCCATCACAGCGCAGGTGTGAAGATTGATACCAGGTAGGCATGGAGCTTGTCAGGTTCATGACACCGCATTGCCGAGCGCCGTTGTGCCGCTTCGGGCGGCTGCGTGCTTTCTACTTTTGTTTAAGTGACATATTATGATGCTGATGCTATAAACTGTTGTGCTCGTGCTTCAAAGGCTTCTGCTATAATGCCTCTTGCAGTCAGGCCGCGCATAATCTGGCTCTGAAGTTGTGCGTGTAGTGTAGGCATGGTTGCCAGCTTCACATGGCTACAAAGCCTTGTCCTGCATAAGGGTGTGACAGGGAAGACATATCTCTCCCTGGCAACGGAGCGTCGTACAGCGCGTAGATTTCTACGATCTGCATCTCAAGGTGGGCTTTGGCCAATTGACTCCGTTGGAACCCAAGGCCGTACACGGTGCATTGCTGCTTCGGGTTCTTTTGCCTAGTGCTCTCCAGGCCAAATCATAAAGATGATGCAGCCTGTGCCAGTTGCAGCCCGTGGTGACGGCGCTGCTGCCTTCTTTGCACGGAGCTTGTCACAGCCAAGCACTGTTCCACAGCATGCTAGCAAAAGCTTGCTAGGCTGCTAGGTCGTTATTCTTCGGCTTTCCCGGAGGTTGCAAAGGTTCAGGTTCTAGGTTTGAGCTGGGAGCAGTTTCACCGAGGCACCGCAGCAGCTGTTTTGGCATTTGTCCTTCTCATGTACCAGCTTCGGCTATCCAAGCTTTAGCATACAAGCTTCATGTTGCGACTACCCTGGATCTGCTGGCTTCGGGCATCCTTGCACACAGAACCTCACAGCAAGGAATGGCACCGAGGGCAGGCCAAAGACCAGAAGCCAGGCAATGCATGTTTCGTGTTGCCTGAGAGCTCGCTGTCTTCCAAGCTGAAGCATACCAGAATCAGCAACCATATGTTGCATGTTCCTAAGCGAAAATGGGGGGACTGGGGGAGACCCATTCCATGTGGAGGCGCTTCTGTGTAGTACCTTTTCCTGCCATTATGTTTTTGTTGATCCATTTTCCGCGCTTACCAAAGCCTTGTAGGTGGGAGTCCTTTCTTAAGTTCAAGATGAGTTCTTCTGGAAGAATCGAGCCTGCCCAAGCCAAGTGGAAATCTGCCTGCAGATTCGGGTGCAGCTCTCAGTAAAGTTGATCGGCTTGACCAAGTTCCACAGAGGTCAAGGCTGTTGTGCCGCAGAGCTTCACTCGCAACGTGCCCCATACCAGCACTGGCTTGAAGTCTTGAAGACGTGTGCTAGGTAGGCGCTGTCCCTCTATGGAGCTGCTGAGCAAATCTATTCTCTATGCAGTGTGTTCCACATCCATGCCACAGATAGCAGGAGGTAGCAACACCAGGCTCCTTAGTTGCCAATTTCCGTGAACGAGCCGCAACGGCTCCCTCACGAGGTCTCCCTCTGTGAGGTCTGCGGTTCAAGGCTGCAACAGACGACGTGGCGATTGTTGCGCGCAATTGCATGCCTCTCACTCCTGCTTGAATGATGTGCCCTATGCCTGTAGCGGCCAGTCTTCGCGCAACTCGTCACAGCCGAGCCGGTATCTGAAACGTCCCGCCCTCCTCCAGCCTAGCCTTCCGGCTGGTACAAAATAATACGGGGGGAGAGGGAGCCATGGTTTGGTGCACGCTTGCCACTCGGTCAACTGCCGGTTCAAGGCGTCTGAGCACATCTATGATGCCATATAGACTCTGCCCATGCTCCAAAAGCTTCTGCCACAATGCCTCTCGCGGTCAGATCCTTCGTGGTATGAAGTTCTCTGTGTAGACATGTTGCCAGTTCACATGGCTAAGTTCCCATGACTACGCAGTCTTGTGCCTCCATACTGGGGCTTGGCAGGGAAAAACATACAAATGTAAAAGTGCTCCCTTGCGATGGAGCGGCGTGCAGCATATCCCGGCTTCAGCAGTACATGGCTTGCCACATGGGCAGCTGCTGAGTGCACAAACACGTTCACAGCAAGCATGAACGGCCTTGATGATTGATGGCCCGTCAAAACCCGGTATATAGCCAGGTAAGGCATGAGCTGATGCCTTTATCCATGTTAGCAACGCGCCATGTGCCGTGGAATTCCATCTCCAACTCTCAGCGCGGCAAGGCAGATCAGCCATGATCAGCCAGCAACATGCAGCTCAAACTCAGTCAGGTTGGGCACCTCGAGACGCTTCAGGAAGCTCTTGGTCTTACGGAAGACCATGGGAGCCGCGCCGCAACGCAGATGTTACTGGTCCAGAGCCGCCGTGGCACGCAGATCGCATTCAACACATCTCGTGCAGCTGTTGAGGCACAAACAGGAGTGCATAATCATTGTACCATCTTCACTCCTTCCGGGAATGACACGCCCAGCACAGCATCGTTTGCAGGACCAAGCAGCCATCTCGCTGTCCTGCTGCAGGCCCAGCGGTTTTCTAAGGAAGGCATCAGATGAGGTGTCTGCCTCGCCTTCTTCCTTGATCGTTAGCCGCCAACTTTTCTTTTTCTAAGGGTCTCGTGCATGCAGCTCCGTATTCCTTTCTCACCCACTTGCTAGAGTTACGCCAGATGCCGTACAACGTACAGCCTGAACACTTCTTGCAAAATTCTGGCCCATGCAACTGAGGCTGGAAAACTCCAAGGCATATTGAGGGCCAGACTGGCTTGGACCAAGATTCTTCCCAAGCCTAGCTTTTGCCTTCTGGCTCATACCCCACTTGTTCATGGCTTCCGGGCGAAGTTGCAAAGCATGTGCTGAGACAAATGAGCTCGTTTCCAGCTTTGCAGGTCTTGTGCGAAGGTGCCTTGCGTGGATTACATGAACAGGGCGGCTTGCAATTCTGCAGCGGCACAGGGATACCGTCAGCGCGGAGCGACCAACTCTGCAAAATAAGATGTCAAGCCATGGGGCGATCCGGGGCTGAACATCTGCAGATCTACCAAGCCTAGCAATGGACGGAACAAAATTGCCAAACAAAAAGTTCAGCCATTCATAAAAGCTATTCATGTAATTGATTTATCTGGCGTTTACTTTCCATCGTAGTTTTAGGATATTTCGTATCATAAATTGCCTCAATAAAACGGCGCGGCCACTTGCAGCCATATCACTCAAATGGGGGCCTGGCGTTTCCGGCTTTCTCTGAAAATGCCTCCTGCAGGCTCCCTAGGGGCTCTAAAATTCCCGAGAGTTTAGGGTCCTTCGGAAAACCAGAAGCTCTAAAAAGTCTGAGGTTTTTGGTCGGGGGGAGGGTAGGGTGACCAAAAAATCTCGGATATTTTTGGTCGCTGCCCCCCCGCCCTCTCCGCCTCATTTGTTTCTCTGTGGCTGTCTCTGCGCTGGCTCAGTCGTTGGCGTAGGTCGCGGCTGCCCACTCTTTTAGAGCTCGAAAATCTTGGTGCACAAGCGCAGCCAACCCAAATTGTCGCGCGCTGCCACGCTGCGAGGCAATCGTTGTCATTCTGTCTGACTCCCAGTCTATCGGTCTATCCTTGATTTGGAATGACGGTCAATCAGTCAGGGTGCAGGTCTGTCGATACGTCGGTCTCTCGCTCTGTCGATCTGACGTTCTCTGAAGTCTGCCTGTCCCTCTGCTATAGTCTATCCGCGAGGCGATCTAAAAAGAAAGTCCGTCGGTCTCGCAGTCTATCATTCTTTCAGCCGGTCACTCTATCGGCGAGGCTGCCTATGTCATGATCTCTCGAATTTATCGATCTTTTTGTCTGCCAATATGTGTCCGTATGTCAGTTTTTCGTTCTGATGATCTATTTGTCGTTGAGTCGATCAATTTCTCGTTTGTGATTTCGAATTGCTGATTTGCGCAGTTTCTCGATCTCTCCGTCTAGCGATGGTTTAATCAAGATAATCAATCCTATGATGCAATCTATGTTTTTGGGATGATGTCGTATTCGTTGGTTGCGGGGTTTGTTATTGGTCATCTTCTTAATCGGTCGTTTTGCGTTGTAGTAATTAATAGGTCAACATTATTGAATATAGATATATATAAATATATATATTGATAAGATCAAGAAGATATAGGAATTTCAGGATATATTAATAAATATTAGGAGATATATTTTTATATATATATTCACTCTATAAAACGCTGCGGAGTACCTTTCGTTTCAGCCTTGCAGCCGGGCCTCTCGTGGGCCTCTGCAGAACGAAACCAGAAAATTCTCAAGAATTTCGAGATTTTGTTGGCTTCCTCGCACATATTCGCATCGCTTGCATTACTTGCGGAAGACGCACAAAAAGTATAGTGGCAATAGCAACGCAGCAAGAGTAAGAGCAACGGCAGCGCCAGCAGCGGTGGCAGCAGAAGCTGTCCGGGTCTGGTAGTGGCCTTGGCCGGCAGCCAATAACGGCAGCGGACGTATGAGTCAATAGCAGCAAGCGCCACGGGCAGGGGCGCAGCCAGCGGCAGGCAGCAGCGGCAGAAAAAGAAAATGACAGAGAAGAAGATGAAGAAAAGAATAGAAGGAAAGGAGGATGAAGGAGGAGAAGAAAAAAAATGAAGGAAAAGAAGAAGCAAAGATAATCGCGACAGCAGCAATATTACTAACGGCAACGGCAGCCGCCGTAGCAGTGCTGACCGCGGCGGCAGCAATCTTCATATATATATTGGGAAATTTATTTGTCTGCGAAGATATGAGGAAGGAGGGGGGCGGTTGATGATAATAGAAGATAATATTGGAGATGGAGGAACAGCCGCGAAATATTATTTTGTTTTTTGGATATATATAATACGTAATATCTAGATTTGATACGATTATGGTAGCAGTCAATAAATTCACGTATCGTTTATATATCGATTTCTATAAATAATTTTAAGATAATATAATATTATATCTATAGAAAAGATTCTTATGATGAGAAATTTCTCAATAATATTTTAAGGGAACTAGATATTATGAGAAGATTTTTTTGGATGGGCGCATTCAAAATTTCTAGATAATGATATATAAAAAGATTATATGTAGATGATTTCTAGAAAAAAAAATATTGAAGGATTTGGGATCAAGGTATGGAGATTTTGAGGAAGGATTCAGATGAAAGATATAGGGATAAAAGATTAAATATTTGATTTTATCTATTTGGAAGCTTATAGATTTTATATTGAGGAAAGATCTAGGATTAATGGAAGAGGATTTTAAATTTAATTTTTATGAAGATTCTAAGAATTGAATTTAGGATTGCAATACTAAAATGCGAATTTATTATCTCTTATATATTACGAGAAGTCTAAAAAAATAATATATATATATATAGAAAGATTTAAGATTAGAATGGAATGATTAAGAGCTTGTGTAATTAGGATATGCCAAAAATGAATTGAGAGATTTAATATTAATATGTTATTTATTGGATCTTATTTAGGTATAGAAAGAGAAATGCAGGGATTTAATGCTAATAGACGATATTTTGGAATTTATATTGGGGAGGAGATTACCTAATGAGAGATCTATCGCTCAAGACCAATAGATGAAGATTTTGATCTTGGACGTTCGCCCAAAAATTTCTCAAAAATAAATTCATAGATTTAATATTAATATGAAAGATTTTGGAATTCATATATTGCTAGAATTCAACATATAAAATATATTGAGATATCTAAGGATAAGCTATGAAAATTTTGATTAAGAAATCAATTGAAATATATAGGATCAAAATAGGAGGATTTGGATCTTATATATCTGGAAGATCCTAAAAAGAGCGTTGAGGCATCTAATTGCAATATATGAGGATTTTGATCTTATCTATTTATAAGATAGATATTCAATATCAAAGAGAGAGATCTTGGATCTTATATATTTGGAGAATTCTAAAATAATAATTTGAAGAATATAAGATAAATTTGAAGGGATTTTGCCCGTATGCGCTTAAAGATTCTCAGAAATGAATTCTAGGATTTGATATCAATATATGAGATTTTTGATTTTCGAAAATATTCTGAAAAATATATTGATGGATCTAGGATCAAGAGATGAATATTTTGCTTAAGAAATGATTTCATAGATTAAATATCAATATACGAGTTTTTGGATCTCATATATTTGGAAAATTCTATAAAATATATTGAAAGATCTAATTTGGGAAAAGAAAAATTTATGGAGATTTTTGGTTTTATACGTATCGATAATTCGTAATCAATATATTTACGGATTTAATATCATTAGATCAATTTTGGATTTTATATATTTGGAGATCTCTATGAAATATATTGAGGGATCTAAGGTCAAGGGGCAAGGTGCGAGGTTATCGGTCTCATATATCTATGAGATTTCAAAAAGCGTATGTAGCGATTTAGAATCAAAATCTTGGATTTTGGGTCTTGTGCATTTGGAATATTTGCCGAGATCACGAAGAGATTTCAGATTGAGGGACGAGATTTAATCTTTATATATCAAAGGATCCAAATAGATATTTGGAAAGATTTGGATTAGATAAGAGAATTTGGGATTTCAGGAATCTCAGTTTTTCGATATATAGAATTTCTAGAAATCCGGTGATCTAGAGGATTTAAGAATTGAAAGAATTCTTTGAAGGGGTTATATGGGATTCCGTTTAGGATTTATCGATCTTAGGAAGATATCAGGAATCAATTCGAGAATTAGTTATAAATGATTGAAGATTAAAGTCTCTTATATATATATATTGGATCATCAAAATAATCGTTGATTTTTAGTATTTTTTTTGACGAGGTCTTTCTAGGATTTGGCTTATCCTTAAGATCATAATTTGATCTTCTAGATATTATCTTCTTATCATTCATATTCAAATATTGGAAAATGAATTCATTTCGTATTCAGGATTCCTGATATATTCCCATATTTTTCCGCTCTGAAATGAATAATTTCTTCTTTCTCTATATATATTTTCAATTCGTTCCGATAATATATTCCGAAATCACGTATAATACCCCCGTATTAAGCGATATCTATAGACATCTTTAAGGGCGTAATCGTGTGTGGCGGCATAGCGGCGTGAAGGGATTGGGGCATCGACGCGGGTGCGGGCGGTTCTAGGGAGCGGGCGGCGGGACGGCGGGAGCGAGACGTATCGAACGTTCAACGATTCAATTTCGATAAAATCAGAGCATTAAATCAAATGAAATCTCTATATTAGAGAAAAAATTTCAGATCTATACGTCATTCATCGTCTCCGATTTGCGTTATTGGATAATCTGATATTTAGTAATTATTGATAAGAAGGAGAAGATGATCTAGTATATAATTTTCTTTGAGGATCCGTCTATCTATGCATGAAATAATGATTGATATAATTCGGATTCATAATATTTTTGATTAAAATGAGATTTGATGAGAAGATCTAAAATCTTCAAGAATTTAGTTCGATCGTCTTTCTCTATGGAAGAAATTCGAAATATCCAAAAGAATAGGGATTCGTGATTCATATTCATATCCGAGATGCCATCTATGAAATGATTTGAAGAAGAAGATCTTTCGATTTCTCATTCTATCAAGACTTTCTATCAATCTATCAATAAGATTGATGATAAATATATCAATCGAGAAATAGAATCTATCGATTTCTTATAATCTATAATATATAGATCTATCAAATCCAATGATCTCTCATTTTCTGATGATATATTTATTAATTATCTATTATATCTGAAATTCGATCAGATTCGAAAATATTCAAATTCTTCGAATTTTTAATTTGCCTGATATCTGTCGTAGATGAGATCGATAAATGATATCTAATATTTTTGAATTTGGAAATTATAGATAATTTTCGATATGAATATAAAAAGAAGCCTCTATTTTCTTAGTGAATAGGATATAGATAAAAATGAAAGATTGATTGTTGGATTTTGAAATATGAATATTTTCTATCATTCATTGATATAAGAAATTTATTCTGAAGATGATTCAAAAGCAATCTATAATTCATGAATATAGAATTTCCGTCGATATAGAAGATA